GCATAACAATGGAAATTTATAGAGTGATTTCTAATGATGTTACCTAAAGGAAGCATATATAGAGTAAATAGGATTGGTCCCAGCACAGAACCTTGTGGAACTCCAAAACAAACTTCAGTACCTACAGATGATTCATCATTAACATGAACAAACTGAAATCGATCAGATAAATAAGATATAAACCAGCTTAGTGCAGAACCTTTTAGGCCAATTAAATGTTTCACTCTCTGTAGCAGAATTTGATGGTCAATTGTGTCAAACGCCGCACTAAGAGCTAATAAAACAAATACAGAGACGAGTCCTTTGTCTGAAGCAATCAGAAGGTCATTTGTAATTTTAACTAGTGCTGTCTCAGTGCTATGATGCACTCTAAATCCTGACTGAAATTCCTCAAATAAATTATTATCATGGAGAAAATCACACAGCTGGTCTGCGACTACTTTCTCAAAGATCTTTGACATAAAGGGAAGATTAGATATTGGTCTATAGTTGGCTAACATCTCTGGATCCAGTGTGGACTTATAATGACGTTAGATTCAGGCAGATACATTGGTCTCTCTATTGATTGGTTCCCCTCCCCAATGGAAATCAGCTGGAGTGTAACAAGTTGACAGTTCTGTCTGATATCAGGCAAAAAGACTTCATCAGTCATCAAGCACTCAAAACTGATAAATAAATATTCAGTTAAAAGTTTAGTTCACAGTGAAGCTGCTTTAGCCGGCAAAGTTAAAGGATTTACCAAAAACGTTAATGCAAAGTAGTCAAGTGCACTCACTTTCAGTTTGACCTCACAATAAAGTGTGGACGTTTCTGTGCTTCTGTGAATCTGACTGAAGCACCAACTGTGTTTCCTGACACGTTCTTGATGACTGTAGAAAGGGTTTTTTTGGGGCAGTTTGACCTTATCTGCTGTGAGGGTCCAGAGGACAGAGGGATGTCTTATGCTGTAAAGCCTCTGAGGCAAACTGTGATTTATGAAATTGGGCTTTATAAATAGAATTGATTGACTGATGACTGTTGTGTACTGTGACTGCACAGTGTATTTATTACTGATGTCAAGGGTTTAATCATCATCCAGAGTTGTGGTAGTGTTACCACCTCACCCTTTTCCCCTTTAAGGGCGGTGGCCATGTGGGTAACCTGTGAGTGTGTGATGCGTGCTTCATTGTATGTGGTGTGGAGAAGCAACTCTCTCTCGAGCCTGGTCTCACTTTGAAATTGTCAAAATCTGGTGCTTGGGCAGTGACTTGCAAGGCCAGAAACCAACGAAAAAAGGCTTCCTTTAATGTCAGCATGATATGCGGCCGGTTGTAATTATAGTTTAGCAGCACCTGGCGGCGTCAGGGGGAAACGCGGTGGGACAAAGACGCAAGCTGAGGCGGTGAAAGTCCGAGTGGGGTGGTTAAGCGGTGGTAGATGGGTCCAACGAGCACTGACTTTCACTCGTGAAAGCAGTGTTCGCATCCCGTAAGATTCTAAAGCATAACCCTGTTCTTTATATTCTTTATACCTAAACCTTACCACATGATTTTTTTTTGTTGTTGAAGGAAAAACAAAGTGTTGTTGTATTGACGTAGTGCTTTTATTTTGAAAGAGACTGAATGTAAATTCCCTGTGAAAACAGAATATGTATTTTGAAAACAGACAATGCATGTAACAGGCTGAAGTTGACACGGCGTCCCAGAATGTCCAACACACCCAGGGTTCCTTGCATGTTGTATGTGGACATGGAAAGTCAATCAATGACCAAACATCAATATGTGATGAGGTCGGCGTGAGAATGTGTCCCTCTCTCGGTTGTGTCATGCTGAAGACCGTATGTGGCAACATGATGATAGCCAGTAGGAGACAATGTCTCAATAAGCTCAGGAGTTATTCTCATGAGATGGCCGTGTTTATTATTCTTTAATGAAGACAAAGCTATTGTTGGTGAGCAGCACTCGAACGCCTCCCTATCCTTCCTTCAGCGGAGTGGTCCAGACCGCTAAAAGCTAGTTACCAGGTAAGAACGAGCCATGCTAAGTCAATGCTAATAAGCCAGCATGTTCCCAACTATGGTTTGGAGACGGTAAGCTGTCACTGAAAAAGGTAACACTAAAGCTGTATGTCTGAAATCAGACTTCCATCCAAACTGAGCGTCAATTGTAACCGAATTTCCAGAAAATCTGCAGAACATATTATGTGGATACCAGGAGTGATGTCATTGAGATTAACAGCTGGTGCCCATTTAGCTCCTGTAGAAGGACACAATGAGAACATGTTCTATAAAAGAGCACCAATCAGACCTCAAACAACTGGAAATGATGCAGAAAACATGATGGAGAGTTCTGTTTGTTTCATGTATTTGAGGAAGGTTACAGTCCTCTTATCGCTCCACTCATGTCTGATGTTTTCGTCTTTTTAGTGGAGGTTTAAATCACATGCTCTGTGCACGTCATGATTTATTCACTGTCTGTTTCCATTTGACTTTGACCAGTTACGTCGACTTTTCCATGTCAGCTAAACATGTTGTTGCAATAGTTCTTTTGAAACTTTGGTGTTTTCACTCAGAGAAAGAAACTATACTGGACAGACTATACTGGAGTCAGTGTTTTACCCCAGTGGTAGCGTAGTCCTCATCAGTGGCGCGGATCCTCAGCGGCTCATCTTTGTTCGTCGGGTCCATTGCCATGACACCCACTGCGGTGATGACGCCTTCATACTGAGGCCTCTGAAACTGTGGCGGGTGGAGACTCTTTACCTGAACGCTGACTGTGACGGTGGTGGTGGCAAACTGATGACTGTTTATCCTCTGAGCAGCCTGGGAGACAAAATGAGCAGGACTGTGACCAGGATTATAGAAATACTGGAGTCTAACTCCACCCAAGACATTTCTGACAGCAATCAATCAAACTCCATGAATCTTTCAATAAGTGACTCATTTATTTATTGAAAAAAGGATGAATGACTCGCTACACTGCAGGACTCTTTGCAGAAAAGAATTATTTATTGCACCGTGACGTACGTTTCGAGCTGTATGCTCTTTGTCAGACAAAGACGAAGTCTGATGAAGAGCATACAGCTCGAAGCGTACGTCTTGGTTGGTTTATTATTTTATTTATTCAGAGTGGCACAGTGTGGCATTCTTTTCTTTGTAGTTGCCTGTTATTGAATAAATGATAAATGTAGAAAGTAAGTTCAGGTGCAGCAGCTGCCAGGTGTACATGGTATAGACCGACATTTCCCCGCCAGTTACTGTGCACAAGTGCACCTCATGAAACCCTCAGCTGCTTGCAGATAGAAACCTCCTGGCTGGGTGCACGTTGCCTGTGCACAATTTTTCATTTCATTTTATTGTGCCTCATTATGGAAGAGAGGCCTCTTTTTTTCTCCACTTGAGCACCTGACCTGCAAAATGTCTGCACGGCACCACAAACTCAAAAGACAATTTGAACAATACTGGAGACACAAAGACGCCATCATTTGAACCAACTGGAGAAAAACAAGTGAATGTTTGGTTTTACCAGAACTGTCAGACCGATGGTCCCCAACACGTCAGCCGGCTTCAGCATGCTGATGTTCCCCGTGTTGGGGTTGATGTGAAACAGACCACCAGCGTCTCCTGAAACACAGACAGACTGAGCTTCTACCTGACAATCTTTAACAGCTGATGTCTGTGGATACAGACGTCAGACTGAAAAATAAACCTCTGCTATTGATTATAATCCAGGCTGCTTACCGCCCAGGAACGAGTACGTTATCTCCTCATTTAGTGAGTCTCCATCGATGGCGTACAGCGGTCCTGGTTTCAGAGGTAACAGTCCAGTCTGCAGAGGGTAAAAAACACAGCAGAATGAACACAGTGGAAAACAGACCTCAGAGGCTTCAAATAAAGTATTTGTCAGATCTTCTGAGAGCATCTGAAACCTCCTTCTGACGGCAGAATTAGCCGCATCCAACAATTTTTGTGTGAAACTCAAAATCGTACAGACTTAAGACAGTGATTGGTCTGTGTGTGGACTTCTCTCTCTACAGTACTTAACACATTTACTGTACTTCTGTCTCTTTTCAAACTGAGTGCAACAAAGTCTCAGAGAAGAGACCTGCCAGGTTTTCATTCTAAGGTGGTGCAGATTTTAGCCATTTTTTTTTTTTTAGAAAATTGGCAAAGTAAATGCAAATGAATGCCTGTTTTTATCCACTAAAGTTATGCAATTAACAGGAAGTGGTTTACTGAAATAAACAGTTGGTGGGGCTGATTCAGTCAGTGCCGTTAAACCAATTTGGTCAGGAACACTTTAGTCAAAGAAAACTATTTCCATTTGCAGTATCCTATTTGGCAGTATGGCTCTGTTCTAGTGCCTTTCTGCCTTTTGTAGGCCTACGCAGAAAGCCTAAGGTGGAGAGAGCACACCTCTCTGCCCTTCCATGTGCAAATGAGGAAAGCCTGAGGCAGAGAGAGCAAACCTCTCTGCCCTTCAGTTTGCCAACATTGAAAGTCTGAGGCAGGGGGAGCAGCAGCAAAGACAGAACAGAGCAGCGTCAGTGACAAACAGAAATGACATTCATTCAGACACAGCATGAAAAGGAGGAGCTGGGGTGGAGGCAGGTTGCAAAGCAGCTTGCAGAGGAAGCAGCAACAGTAGGCAGGCCAGAGCAGTTTAAATAGGTCGCCCTGAATGAGATTTGTCAATTGTTTTTTTTTAATGTATTTTTTTTTTTTTTTTTTTTTTTCCTTTCATCAATCAGCTGATCCATCAGTTGATTGGACTGTTTGAGATCAGCTGATGCAGCTGGGATGTGAGCTGAGCTTGACATCGTGTCCTGTCTGATCTAACGCTGTGCTCAGTTTCAGGCAACATCACATCACTTCACTTCGTCTACACTCATCACTGTCTCAGTAACAAAGCTGGACTTTACAAGTGTCGCACCTCTTGTTCGTTTAACACGACCCTGGTGGTGTAACCGCTGCTCTGGCAGATCACTACTCCCCCGATCTCATGCTTGTTGCAGGGCTGGAACCATGGCGGTCTGTTGTCCACGTCTACGATGGTGACCATGATAGTGGTGGTGGCGCTGAATGGAGCCCTGCTATTGGCTGGAGTTAACGGTGCATCCTGAATAAAAGAAAAGTAATGATTATTTCAGTCGTACACAGATACAGTGTGACAGTAGACAAAAATCTGAGAAACTCGATATGGATATGCTGATGGCAGTCAACGAGGGGAACATCAGCCGACACTGATGTGCAGCCAATAAATCATTCCATTCCTAATAAAGTGCACTTTACTTTGATGTTAAGCATTATTTCCTCGGCCCACTTGCCCAGCGTTATTCAAACATGTCATATTAAATTTCTTTTCAAACATAATTCCAGTGCATGGAGGGAGAGACTGAACTGTCACACACTGACGCATATTAGAGCAACAGTACGTTACGTCAACTGATGTAATAAATTCAAGGGGAACTAATGTTTTTTTCAACCTGGGTCCTATTTTCTGATCTCCTTTTGTCTAAATGAGTGATAGGCTGTTCAATATGTGACATTTCTCCAGTATGAAGCTAGGGCTGACCTGCCTGCAGCCCGTGAACGCGCGCTATATTAAATAATAGGGCACTCAGACAGCGTCAAACAACGTCAAAATACGTCCACTAAAATTGCATTTTTTTCACACAGATAGGCTCGGATTGTTAGTGTAATTATCTGACAACATAACAGAAAGGAGAAATGAATGTCTGTGTTTACCTTTAGCTGGATTCAGACATGTTCCTCTGCCTGTTGCTGCTCCCTCTCTCTCCTCGTCTGACTCTCCGTGTACGTCCGTGTACTCCGTGTTCAAATAAATACGGGCGGTCATCAAATTCAAATGGCTCATCCAGATCCAGTTGGTCAAAATCAGGTAAAAATTCAGTCATGACTACTCCAAACACAGTAACTCCTCGCGTTTGTAAGCTTCAGCGGTAACTTCCTGCAACAACTCAAATCTCGCGAGACGTGAGATTTCAGAGCCAGACTTTCACTCTCTGTGTTTTGACTTGCAATAACAAACATGTCTGAATTTTTACCCAATTTTGACCAACTGGATCTGGATGAGACATTTGAATTTGATGAGCGCCCGTATTTATTTGAACACGGAGTACACGGATGTACACGGAGAGTCAGACGAGGAGAGAGAGGGAGCAGCAACAGGCAGAGGAACATGTCTGAATCCAGCTAAAGGTTAGTCTCGCCACCAGACAATCAGAGATCTCCGGCTTCTGATAGTCTGGGGACACTCCTTTCTAAAGTGTGTTTAACACACCAGAGAAAACGGCCGGCAACAAAGCAACGCCTCTTGCATTTTTGAAAAGGACACGCCCTCCCGGAAATGTGCGCTCCTCCTTTTCTCGTCCGCAAGGAAACAAACACACAGAGAGCTTGAAAATGGATGCCGAGAGATTTAACTCCGTTTTATCAAACGTGTGCTCAGTCCACAAGATTGTGGAAATGAAGGACTTACAGCAACTTGAGCCATTTTGTACCGCTGCACTTGTTTCTAGTGGGACTATGTTTACGAGCACAAGAGTTCAGCGAGCCACCGAAGGACCGCCCTGCAGATTTACTATTGGTTCTGCAACGTAGGGAGTTTTTTTAAACTCTGAAATTGTATCCGCCCATCTAAACACAAAATCAGGGAGAAAGTCATCAGTCTTTAGTTAAGCAAAGCGTCTAAAGACTGACTTGTGAGTCTAGGGAAAGGTAAACACAGACGTTCATTTCTCCTTTCCGTTATGTTGTCAGATAATTATACGAACAATCCGAGCCTATCTGTGTGAAAAAAATGCACTTTTAGTGGACGTATTTTGACGTTGTTTGACGCTGTCTGAGTGCCCTATTATTTAATATAGCGTGCGCTCACGGGCTGCAGGCAGGTCAGCCCTAGCTTCATACTGGAGAAATGTCACATATTGAACATCTTATCACTCATTTAGACAAAAGTAGATCTGAAAATAGGACCCAGGTTGAAAAAAACATTAGTTCCCCTTTAACTGTGTTATTGTGATCAACATATCGTGATAAACTTAAATTAAAAGAATTATTGTTTAGTATTAACGGCTATTTGTGGGATCATATTCCAAGGAAAAAATCCTTTCTTTTTTTTTTATCTTTTTAATTTATAAAATACTAAAAAAAAATGTCTGAAAGAGGAAGTCAGTGTTTTGAACCAGCAGTGAACAGCACTCACCTGAGCGGTTAATATCAGTTGGACACTTTTGACTTTATCGTAGTCGAGAGGCGTCTGAACGAGGAGCTCCGGGATGGTGGGCGACCTCAGTTTGAAGCCGTTCTGCAGAAATCAAAGAGGACAATAAAAGCTCTTTAGATCTGCATCTTGATCTCGCTGTTTCCTCTCTGCTTCCAGTATTTGTGCTACGCTAGGCTAAACACGTCCTGGACCCACCACTGTACTGCAGATTGGACTAATATCTCATCTCACTCAAGGAAAGACAAACAACAAGGTGATTTATCTACAAGTTCGACCCACTGAGAAACAAAAGGAACACAAACAGGAGAACTTACAGATTCAGACGTCAGTGTGTAGTAGATTATATCACCGTCTAAGTCTGTGGCAGGGAAGCGGCCCACGCTTGTGTCAACAGGAGACAGCTGGAACAAAAACAGTCAGTGTGAAGAAATATTAACACGTAACAACGTTTTTAATATTTTAATGGATTAATCACAGGAGCAAATCTTAATGAGCAGCCTCGTTGTGAAAAGTCCCGGGCACTTCCATCAACAACAGACCTTACTAAACATATAGTATCAGGCTCTTAGTCTTGCGTAGCATCACTGTGATCCAAGACAAACATAATTTGATAATCAGAGCCCTTGAGGTGAAGCCTGATGATACTTTAGGGCACGTGTTAGGGCATGTTCATCAGAGCATGCATGGCTGTAAACAGGAGCATTATCTTCATGAGCCATGTAAACAGGTTAGTGGGAATATTTCCTTTTCCCAGGAAGTAGGTGATGAAGTCTGGCTCACAGTCCAGTTCATCCCAAAAGTGTTGGTTGGGGTTGAGGTCTGTGCTCTGTGCAGGCCTGTCACGCTCCACTACACCAAACTGTAAACCATTTCTTTGTGGAGCTGACTTCGTTTACAAGGTCACTGTTATGTTGAAACAGGAAAGGGCCAAAAACAAATGGTTGGCACAAAGGAAGAGGCACTCTACATCAGCTGGTCCGACCCCGAGGTCCAGATTTCTCCTTAGTCATTAGTTCATGGTCCACACAGTTTGATATATTCAGCGTCATACTTGCACTTGTCGATGGTGTCGAGCTAGTTTGGTGTCTCTGTCAAGTACAGGTCCATTGTTCACTCTCTCTTCAGCAGGAGACAGGACTTCAGTATAAAAGCTCTGTGCTGGAAATTTAGTCTTCTTCAAAATAAAGTGTTTTTTATTTTTACAAACTTACAGACACATTCAGGAGTCGCTTACCGTCCATTCAGAATTGACCCATGACCTACTTTCAGACTGTGACCCACCAGTTGGGAACCACTGCTGTAGAGTCTTTTGAAACGATCCATGAAAATCAGCTCCAGAGCAAAAGTACATAGAAACATACACGTGTCTACATACTTTACTGTTATTGAGAGAAACTTTGATGTTAAAACTGGAGGAAAATGAATCTATTAAAACAACATTTAGTCGTTTAGTCGAGTCCATAAAGCAACAAACACATATTTGTGTATTTAAAATATCACTCTTACCTCATTGACATTGAGCTGGTACAGATTCTGAGAGAAGACCGGAGGGTTATCATTCTTATTGGTCACAAGCACAATGACGGTGAGGCCGAACTGGAAACGAAGAGACACAAGTCTTGTTTGAACCACATGTTTTCACTGTTGGGACAGGAGCATCTTTACCACTGGTTGACATCACCTTTTCTTTTAACAACTCTCAGTCAGTGTTTGCGAACTGAGGACACTGCAGAAGTTTTTCTTGTCTGATATCTGACTGCAGTGTCTCAACAGTCGATGCTTGTCATGTTCCACACATGTTCAGTTGGAGACAGGTGTGGACTGCAGGCAGGTCAGTCTGGTACCTGCACTCTGTCACTACAAAGCCACGCTGTTGGAACACGTCACAATGTGTCTCATTGTCTCGCTGGAATAAGACGGGACGTCCCTGAAAAGACGGCGTCTGGATGGCAGCATATGTTGCTCCAAAACCTATTTGTACCTTTCAGCATTCATGGAGGCTTCACAGATGTGAAATTACCCATGATGCTTTCTCGGAACCCCCTGTATTCAGCGTCTGACTTCCGGCAGACGGCGATACAGCCTATGGGGGCAGACCCCTGGTTTTTTTTGGCATTCCGGTTTGATTTGGGCGGAGGCGGATTTCCGTTTCCAGAGTTTGCAGTGACGCCATTTATGTTCCGCCTCATTAGTTCACCGCATGGACCGTTTAACCTGGCAACAACTGCAGCCGGCTCAAACGTGATTGGTCAGTATCACGCAGACTGCAAATAGCCTACAACCGGAAACCAGGGATCTTCCACTCTTCTTCCGGAGGCAAGACAAGGCTATTCAAGAGAAGGATGAGACACGGGGTCAGACATGGGGGGATTGCACATGCGCAGTAACATCTGGTCGGCACTTATTCACTGTCACCCTCCAGAATCGCAGCTCAAGTTACATTGCACATGTGCAATTCCCCCACGTCTGACCCCGTGTCTCAGCCTTCTCTTGAATAGCCTTGTTCAAGAGAAGGCTGAGACACGGGGTCAAACGTGGGGGAATTGCACATGCGCAGTGTAACTTGAGCTGGGATGCTGGAGGGTGACAGCAGGGGCGCTAGATAAAAAGCGCAGGATCAGCTCAGGCGATCAAGGAGTGCACTTGGTGCGGTCTGCTTGGACTTTTGGACGGCGGCTGCCTGAAGTTGTCGGAATTGCATCTCTGTCTTTCTCACCCACAACGCAGGCCACCAGTGACAGTCCAGTAATAAGCTGTGAAAATGACATGCATGCACATCCCCTTTATTCCGTGGTTTCACGCCATCTACTGAGCCTTTGAGGAAGTGCAGACCAGATTTTACTGCGCACGTGCAATCCCCCCATGTTTGACCCCGTGTCTCAGCCTTCTCTTGAATAGCTTTGAGGCAAGATCTCTGGGGTTCGCCTACAGACTCTACATTCACTGAATGTAGACTACCCATGATGTAGACTACCCATGATGCACCTCACCATCTCATCACAGATGTGAAGTTACCCATGATGCATCTCTCCATCACAGATGCTGTCTTTGAACTTTGAGCTGGTAACAGTCTGGATGGTCCCTGAGGACAGGATGTCCACGATGGACTGGTCAGACCAAAGTACAATTTTCCATTTTATTGTGGTCCATTTTGTGATCATTTTTAACCAATGTAAAGCGTCTGTGAGTATCTTGAAAAGCGCGCTATAAATAAAATGTATTATTATTATTATTATTGTTGTCATGTCAGTCCATCTCCAATGAGCTTGGGCTCAGAGAAAGAAAAAAAGATAAAAATCAATACACCCTAGTATCGCAATATTTTTGTGTGGCAATATGGTATCGTCACACAGTGCCAAGTATTGATTCTTTTATTATATAAATTAATAATATTATAAATAAAAGTTTTACTTTAAGGGGCGGCAGAGATGCCAGTTCACCTCCTGGTCACTGCCGAGGTGCCCTTGAGCGAGGCACTGAAGCCCCCAACCGACCGATTTTTCAGTCCACACATTTTGCAGCAGTTTTGCAGAAAAAAAACAGGAAATATATCACAATATATTTTTTATTCTTATGTTTAAAATCACAATAGTATTGTATGGTGACTAAGTATCATGATAATATCATATCATGGATCCTCTGGTGATTCCCGCCCCTCGTAGCTACGTCCATTATTGTACAGTCTGTGGTTTTATTCAGTACGCTGTTTCAGAAGCGGGGTCGTACAACAACAGTAAATAACTTGTGACGCACATTTACGAATATTGAATTAATCAGTGCAAGTTTCTTTCTGTCTTTCTTTAGTCATTTTATCAGTTTGAATACTACAAAATGAAAAAGTCACTGCAGTAAAATGCCTCTCAGTTTAAAATGTTTAGTGTACGAAGACAGTTTTACCTTTAAGCCTGAGGCCGTATCAGTGCAGGTGATCTCGGCTACATGAGAAGTTTCAGTCTGCAAACAAAACAAACGTTAAGCTCAACAGTCTGATATTTTCACAGACTGGTATCTAAACTGAGATGTGGGTTTGGATCTGGTTGACACCATTCCAGTACATTCATGGCCGACAATACCTCGTAGTCCAACACCCTCACAGCTATCAGCTTGTTTCCCTGGAGGCTGAATGGGTAGTTGGGGTCTGTAGGGTCATGGTTAAGCTCCAGGGTCACTGTGTCTGACAGGATGTTGATCGTCTGCACGACCTCACCCACTGTGTTGTTTTCTGCAAAGTTGACAGGTGAAGGAGCAGAACAGACTGTTGGGAGAAAGAAAAGAGCAAAGAGCACAGTTTAGTAAATCCTGTTTGTTCTGTCTTTTCCCAAGTCAGATCAGAAAATGGAGTTTTATCTCTGTGATCAAAGATTTGCAGACTGTGGTCATCACTCTCCGACTCTGGCTGAAACCCTCATTCACACCTTCACTGCCTCCTGTCTGAACTACTGTGATGGAGTCCTGTCTGGGTTGCCCAACAAGGCCCTGGACAGGCTCCACCCACACCAAGCCCGGCAGCACATCACCCCTGAACTCATCTAACTTAACTGGCCTCTGGTTATATCCTGCATCCACTGCAAACTCATCCTCCTCCTCCTCCTCACTACAGATCCCTCCAGGGTCTCAACCCCCAGTACCTGTCTGACCTCATCCATCCTTTTAACCCATCCGAGAACCCACGGCCCACCGACACAGGTCTGTCTCAGGTCTTATTTAGTTATGTATATTTGTTATTTTTTCATACTGTAAAGTGGCCTCGGGCACCCTGAGAGGCACTACATAAATCCAAGTTAATATTATATTGTATTATATATTAAAAAATACTGGATAAACATTTGAAATAAAAGGCTGCAGACTGTTTCACTTTCCACTGTTACACTTTTAATGTTGAGTAACAGTCTTGATTTTTAAGTATTAACCATTGGTTTCTACCTTATTTTATCCTTTCTGTTTATTTTATTCTATTTTATTTATTTACTTTCTTTTTATTCTATGGAATCATTTTTGTTAGTTTGTTCTGTTTTGTTTGGTTTGCTTTTAAATATTTTATCACATTATTGTTGTAATTTTCTAGTCTTGTAAAATGTTATGTTCAGTTGTTGTGTTATCCTTTAAATTGTGTCTGTGTCATTCCAGTTTTGCCATGTGACGCACTTTGAGCTGCATGTTTGTATGAAAGGTGCTCTATAAATAAAGCTGAGTTTTACAGTACACTGTAAAATAGTTGACTGTATATTTACAGTAAATCACAGACTGCTAGTTGCATTGCTATCATGGTACATTACTTTTTTTTTTACAGTAAATTGTTGTGAGAAGACAGCTGTATTCTGTGATCTCACAGCAGTTACACCTCCATATTACTGTGATTTAGCAGGATGCTCCTGTGAAATTATTATATTTAACTGCAACCCCGCAGTGAAAGCCTGTCACATTACGAGATATAACAGAATGTTCCTGTAAATTTAACTGTAACTTTACAGTTTATGTACATTATATTACTGTGATTTAGCAGTATGCTCCCACAGAATTACTGTATTTTACTGTAATCTAACAATTAAATCCATATATCATTGTGATTTAGCAGTATGCTTCTCTAATACTATATTTACCTGCATTAACATCACAATAACATTGAAACTGGTTAAATATCACAGTAAAAGACTGTAAGGTGAATATAATGTCATTTATTGTGAAATACTGTAACCTCCTGGAAATAATTTGCAGTGTAGTTTGACCACAGAGGAGGAGTTACTTTGTAACTGAGTACAAAGTGGTCGCATCATGATACATTACATTACATTTTAATCACGTGTGATTTTATGCTGTGTTCATTTAACATGTGAATTACAGCTGAAGCCACCTGGTATTTTGTAACTGTTCAGGTTTTGTGTTCAGCTGAATGTTTTCTTACTCGAATCAACAGTTTTTCAGACGCTCTTGGTTCAAATTAAGCTAATTATTTTCTTTCTTAATATGTCTGTTTTATGTACAAGTACATTTTCATGCATAAATGTTGACAGGTGAGGAGTAGTAAACAGATGAAATGGATTCCGCTGTCAAATTCTGTTTCTCAGTTGCTTTGTGTTTCCCCTTTCTGTAACTGCTCTTTTTCTGCTTCCTCAATCTAACCTTACCATATCACCAACAACTGTGCATCGCCATGAACTAAGCCCTGAGAGCATCAATATGGGAAACACAGACTGAGGGGAAGGGAAACACGATTCAACGAGGAAATATAGCCTACACTGAAGAAAAATATAAACACGTTTGTTTTCACTCCCATTCTTCATCGGTTGAAATAAAAATTCTAAGACTTTTTTGTGCACACAACAGACCAGTTTCTCTAAAATTATGCACAAGTATGAGCGCTCACAACAGCAGATGTTTATTCATGTATTTATTAGACTGACAGATCTCAGAGAGTGTCAACAAATTTGTTAATATTCATGTTAAGCAGGATTTATACTTGTGCTGCAGACCCTATGCCATAGCCTATGCTGTTGTGAGCATTTATACATGTGCAGTGGTGTGTCTGTGTCACTCTGCAGTCACACCTCTAAAACACTAGGTGGTGGCGGGGTTCCTGTGAAGTGCTGTAAAGTTTAGTTGATTCAAAACGCACATTAAACACACATTAAACATGGCTTAATAGAGACAATTTCAAACACAGGTACACAAATCAGCTTCACTATAACTCGCAGCATTCACAGACAAACACTTGTCTTTATCTGGACACATTTTCCCCACAAATACAACATGCTAACGTTATTAGCACAAGCCTATGGCATTTTACATTGTATAAATTAGCCTAGCAATGTGCAGAGATTTCCTCTGCTCATATGAAGCCAGGATAAATCACACACACAAGACTTAAAATGCTATTTTAGTGGAGGCTTTATTGTCTTCACAATTTATTGTTTCTTATCTGTGAAATTAAAGTAAATCAAAGCTTTGTTTCCACTGAGGGAAATGGTTTCAGCTTACAGAAATGAGGGAACGTGCTGTTGGCATGCTGACTGCAGGAATGTCACCGGAGTTGTTTCCTGTGAACTGAGTACTCATGTTGCTGTTATAAGCCGTCTCCACTGTCCATCTATCCATTAACTGTAACCTCTTATCCTCTTAAGGGTTGCCCGGCTACACCCAGGTCATCATGCTATTACAGGACTTTCCACCAACATGGAAGCAGTTATATTTTGGACCGCTCAGAGCACTTCGACCTGAAGTTTGAACCGTGACGACATCAGCGGGCGTGTCATATTCTACAGACAGGATGGAGAAGTCAAGTGAGAAATCATCAGAAGAAAAGAGCGTGCAGCGGTGTCATTAATGTCTGGTCCCTGCTTGTTTTGGGTAAAAAAGCATTCTGTAATAACAGAACGAGAGTTTAAGGATTAATGTGATACACAATTTTGCTAATGAAATCTAGAAAAAGTTCAGTCAGGAAGACGATACTTTTCATACTTTTTCATGCTCAGGCTATAAGTTTCTTTCTCACTCTGCCATTCACTCCTCACACGCATGCTCACTCACTCAGAGGTTTTTCAATTGAGTCATCAGCTGATTGTCAATCAACCAATAGCACAGCGACACACCTTTTCCGTCAGCCTATCATCTTACTGCTCCTTAATTTAAATATGGCTCCTTCTCTGCTGTAGTTCTTTCTTGCTGCCATTGTGTGCGCGCGCCTTCCACCTCCCCATCATCACCCAGTCTTTATGGATTCATCAGCCTCACACGCCTCAGCTGTCATCAGCCACACCACCAGTGTCTGGACTCCATGGGGGGATTCATCCTGCTGCTGCTCAGATGTCACTCATAATATCTCCCTCTGGTGTCCAAGCAAATTATCTGTTAATCTCTTCATTCATATTCTGTATCAAATATTATCTTGACTTCATTCAACTGTCTCTCCTGATCGATCTACTTCCATTGTGCACTTCTGTTAGTTACACATCCTTGATCACAGTGGCTCCACTCAAATTTGGTGGTAATGCAGGCTGGGTTCACTAGATAGCACCAAAGCTCAGAGAATCCTGAAGAGAACCAGAGCTCATTTGGTGTAATAGAGACAAACAACCAATCACGTTCACATTCACACCTGCAGGCAGTTTAAAGTCACCAATAACCTATTTTTTGGACTGTGGGAGGAGGAACCTACCCTGGAAATCCAGAGTTCTCGCGAGAGCACAATTTGAATTTGCTCAGCGAGTCACTCTGGCAATCAGTAATGATGCTCATTACCCATGCCGTTGGAGCCGAGCTGCACCAATCACCTCGGTGTATCTGATAGGCGGGCCAGAGGCGAGCTAAACAGATGACGACAGCGCTGCAAAGATGAAGTCAGTAAACATTGCAAGATGGCTACGGATGAACACCAGTTGTTTGAAACGGCTTTGGCCGCTACAATGAACGAGTTAGACTTGGTTTTTTCTCTAAAAGAGGAACAGAAGACGGCGCTCGAGTCTTTCCTTTGCAAGAAGGACATTTTTGCTGTTTTGCTGACCGGATACGGCAAGAGTCTAATCTACCAGTTAGCTCCGCTGGTAGCTAAGCGCTAAGTATTGTTCTGGTCGTAGTGTTATCCAATTGTGTGCAGTGATATTTTCAAATGCATGCTTGGTGCCGCCCCTTGAGTTGGGCCATTTTCATTACTCATAGCCAGATCTTTCTAGATTTGGGTCTGGATTTCCAGGCTAGGAGGAACCCAAAGAAAACATGCAACCTATACAGAGCAGGACCTGAGCTGACCAGCGAGTTTGAACCCTGAACTCTGTCTGTGAGGCAACAGTGCTAACCACATGCAGCCAAAGGGGATGACACGCAGTCATATTCCTACTGCTACCAAGGACTCAGTCACATGGGACACATGCACCAACAGTTGAGCTAGAGGTCGCCCCATCTCCAGTGTCCCTGTGAATTTGGCACTACACCCAACCATCCTCATGACTGCAGACCATGTATAACCACACCAGCAGCCACCTGAACAGCTGATGCAAAAACTGGTTTTCACAACCAAAGAATCTGTGCACAACCCATCAGAAACTGTCTCAGGGAAGCTCATCTGCACGCTTGTTATTCTTCTCACCATCAGTGTTGTCTGGCACTTTAGAGAGGTGTTCTCATCACAGATGTGTGACTGAGAAACGCATATCTGTAGCCTTAGTCATGTGAAATCCAAAGTGGGCATCCAGAGTGTCTAATAAATGTCTTGATTTCAAGATAAAACTTCACATTTGGCCTTTTATTGTGACCATCCCAGACACACCTGTGTGGTAACGATGCTGGTTAATCAGCATCTTGATATGCCACACCTGTCAGGTGGATGGATTATCTTGGAAAAGACAAAGAGCTCACTGAGAGATGTTTAACACATTTGTGCACAAAATTTATAAGACGGCACAAAACAGAAAATATTTTGTGTGTGTGTGCACACAAGAAAAGTCTTAGATAAAAAACCCCAAAAGCTTTTATATATTGTTCAGTGTACATTGACACAAGGCCGCTGCCAGTTGCAGTTCTGCAAACTACAACATAGACAAACAGTAATTAACGGCAAAGTCACGCACGTAAACGTGACGGCTCTGCTTCTCCTCTGCATGCTTGAAAAGCAGTGTTTAAGTTATGAAGTCCACCTGACATAAACAAGTCAATAAACACAATGTTAGTATTGTATTTATGAAAAAGGTCTTAAACAGTCTGTCAGTGTCAAAACAAAGTAATAAGAAAGATGTTTTCTAGTCGGCCACTATTCTGCAAATGATCTCAGTAGAAACAGCTCCACACACAAGATGAGTTATTATTAAATCTCTGTGTTTGGGAAGATCTGAATAAAGGAGTTTTCAGCTGTGGTAAAATATGAAGGATTTTATAGAGGTCTGAGGTCAACCCTTTGCTGATAAGCTGGTCTGAGCAGGAGGAAGAACAAGTTACATAATTCACTGAAACATGGAGGGAGCATCTGCGACCACAATCTGAAGGTGTTCAATGGATTTATTTTTAGTTTCTATTGAGTAGTTTAGGCTGTTGTCTATCCCCACAGCTCTCTCTGCACTGCTACATCGGATCATATTTGATCCACCTGTGGGGCAGATCACATGCCTTTCAGTAACGTTTTAACCCTGAAATGATGAAGAGATAACTGAAAGTTCAGTGCAGGGACTGAGCCCTGCTGGTGTGGGGCAGGTTTATAAAGCCGGACTCAAGCAGGACTCCACAGAGAAGATTAAAAAAAAAAACACAAAACATCCTACCAATCTTTAAAAACCTATTTCAAATGCTTTTTTGGCCGCATGTTATTTAATGTCTAGCTGATGTTTTGCCTGCTGAAACAGGCTGGTTGTGGCTGTTGTTGTTCTTTTTTGAGTTAGCCCCCAACTGCTATTAGCTGCTTTTTAAATCTCCCACTGTGGGTCACATGCATGAAAGTCACACCCATCCTAACCATGGTCCTGTCCTGCCACATGTCATTTATACAGATCTAGTTTCAGCATTGATTTGTGCCCCAAAAACTGGGTGTATTAAAACATTATCTTTTCTGAACCATGGCCCGCCCGCAGTTGGGTGGTGGGGTCAAAGGGTACAGATGATCCCAGGTTAAGGCCAATGGTGGGGGCCATGAACAGGTCTATGGTTGACACTTAATTTGGATCCAGTACAGCAATCAATTTACTGGATGAATGATGATATATGATAAATGAATTAAATTTTATAATTAAAACACATTTCAATGTGAAGAAGCAGCAGGTATGACAGGTCAAGCTGGTGGTGAGAAGTGAGGCAGAGTAATGTTAGCAAATAAAACCTGCTGTAACGGCTCAGTTTTAAAGCTACAGTGAGGTAAAGCTACAGATATTAAACTAGAGGACCTGAGGCGTCCAGTGGTGTGAACCATGTTAAGAGACCTTGTCAGAAAGGGGGCCAAATAACACTCTGAAGTTACTCAAAATTTTGGCGAAGGAAAAAGGAACATTGCCTTTTTTCAAATTATTTTTCTGCATGCTGAGGTCTCTAAACAGTCCTGCAATTGCATAAATTGGGTGTAACTGGGAAACTGAGAGCTGAAAGCCATGTAGTCTTTACACTATTTCAGTTCTGCACACAATCTGACCAATATTTGATTAAAGTAGTATTTTTGTAGTCATGATTTGGTCTTGTGATTTAATACTTCCCAAGTGCCCACTTTGGAAAATGTTGTCTACCTGTCTATATATCCTAAAAACTGGCCTGCCTAAACCCAACCACATGTTAAGCCACTGCGTTGTCGAAATGTATCCACTACATGATAATGTGCAAATATAACATATATTTGGTTTGCAGACATGTACAACACCACCATTATTTCTGGTGACTGGGCTGCACAAGCAGCCGTCTCCAGGGCTCAAAAATTAAACTAAAGGTGCTCTCAGCTCTACAGTCATCTCCTTTGGTCTGAATCAGGGACTCATGTTGTTCCAAAGTTGTATAATTGCCTAGAGTTGGTTCATGTTCTCACGGCAGCATTTACAAGAGGACCAGATCAAATGCCTTGTGTGAGAAAGCTGCTCTTGATTGGTCAGAATTTCCATGTGGGAAAAATCCAGGAAGTAAAGCAAACGTTGAAGAAGAGTACACTTGCAAGATAAATGTGACACTTTCTAATGTCACAATGGAGGGACAACTACGCAGGTTGATTTTAGCGCTGCTCATCGTGGACTATATTGCTGTCATTGTTCATTTTAGTCAAACCATACAGTTTGAAAACGAGGCGCGGCTCCAACTAGAAAACAATGTTTTGATGCATTGGATGTGCTGAATGTGCATATTAAGGCAGTACAGGAGGAGGTGCACATTAATAATCCTCCAGGACTGTAACATGCTCATGTTTAACCCAAACAATGTGTCATGTGACTGCAGTTGCTTCACATCCAGGTCAGAACACGTTCTCACCACAAACCAACCGCACCAGAGTTCCTTTGGAACTGGACTGAGACCACCTCTTCAAGAAGGTCTCGGTCCAGTTGTTTTGGTGCACATCTGAGTGTGATTGCTGTGTTCACACCTGCCCAAACGAACCGCACTGAGGGGGCAAATGAACTTGAGTTTGATTGAACTGAACCAAACGGGGCAGGTGTGAAAGCAGCCTGATGCTTAAGTGCCAAAAACTGCAATTCCTCTGACAGCCACTAGAGGCTGGCTCCAAGAGCAAGTCAATCTCCACAGAGCCCCAAATTAAAAAGTCCACCTTTATTTCATAGCAGAAATAAACATGTTTACAGTTTAGTACAAAAAACAGTTTTGGTCTCATGACCGTACAGGAGGTGGATTTTTATATAACTCACCTGTTACATTTTATGAAGGCTTAAAGTTACACATAGTTAAGAGCGATGCTGCTTTGAGTGACAGACTGCCTACGTCAATTCTTGTTACAGTCTACGGTTACAGTCGATACCCTGAATAATTACAGTCCTAAACTGAGTGTCAGTGCTTCTTATAAATGTCTCCACCCTTCAGCTCTCTGGCCTCCACACACAAACTGTCCACTGCACAGTTTAATATCAAACAACGTCCTGTTTCAGTCACCTGAGCTCATCCTCCGATTGTATTCCACATGTACATTATCTATCTAAATTCACACAGAGTAGTGCGTAGTTAGATCTGGTCTGTCTGTATCACACTCTGTTGTTAGCATCTCTAAGGTGACACCTGCAGTCACAGATAAAACAAAGGAGCCTCAGGTGAACCAGCAGATTTCAGTACTCACTGTCCTGGGCATCAGTGGACATTTGAAGCAGAATCAGAAGGAGAAAGCTGAAGAACGTCCTCACGGTGAAGTATGTCTGAATCCCGTCCATGTTTCCGTCTGTCCTGACAGAACTGAGCCTCCTCTGTCTCTGTCCTCGGCTTATCTGCTCGGCTTTATGACCGCAGTGGACTTTTCCCTGTCATAAAAACATAACACGCGTCTGTTTGCTGGGAAGTCATACAAAATCTCTTTTTGACAAATTGTGTTTTATTTGGTTGGTTTGACTCGTGGCACATCGAGGTTTAATGTTTACATGTACACAGAAGTAGAAAAAAATAATGGTAGCTTTAATTAAGTTGTCTTTTAATTAATGTCTTCATTTATAAATGTCCTCTGTAATCTCTGCCTTTATCAAGAGATTGTGCGTCCTAGTTTCCATTTATGGTTGACAACAATGATGAAACAAACATTACACATCAATACAGAAAAAACAGACATCACGGATGTATTAAAGGTAAGTTTGACTTCCATGGTTTTAACTATCCAAAATTCAGATATCCAAACAGCTGCTGTTACTCCTACTAGAACTGCTTTAACATAACCAAAATGTTGACTTGCTCCTCTCAAACTATGACGTGTGGTGACACTGTGACCTCTCAGCGATGGAAGAATTGTTCAGACCCTTCACTTAAAGGGATAGTGCACCCAAAAATGAAAATTCAGCCATTATCTAGTCACCCATATGTCGAGGGAGGCTCAGGTGAAGTTTCAGAGTCCTCACATCACTTGCAGAGATCCAAGGGGAGAGGAGGTAGCAACACAACTCCACCTAATGGAGGCTGACGGCGCCCCAGATTCAAACGTCCAAAAACACATAATTGAAACCACAAAATATCTCTATACTGCTCGTCCGTAGTGATCCAAGTGTCCTGAAGCCCCGACATAAAAAGTTGTTTGGAAAAACGTCATTTGAACTCTGTTTTTAGCCTCATTGTAGCCTGTGCAAGTGCACACACGCCAGTGCAGTGCACAGAGAGGCAGTTAGAGCTGTTACAAAAACTGTAAATCATTGTCTAATAATATAAATAAATTGATTCACAGCCTAAAGTCACTGCAGATGAAGACGTATTTTCAAGAACAACACAGTTGCAGTGATAGTGTTAACTGTAGCTGAACTATAGCCAGTGCTGCATGATGCCCAGCTTAGTGAGATGATTAATTGTAATTACCTCACATCATATAATCAATATTTGGAAAATTTAACAACAGTACTGCTCCTTAGATTTTACTTGTTGTCACCAGATGTTATTTACCTGCCAGGGTCTCCTGTTACAGAAGGACTGGTAAGATATTCTTGAGCACATCTCTTGCTTTCCGTTGGCCATCTTGGTTTAAGAGATTTGAGTTGCACTGACAACACCTGGCCAGTGGGTGGCAGTGTATGGGATGACACACTAGAGTCCACTTTAGTGACCTTAATGCAGCTACAGCATCAAAACCCAGAAAATGTCTTGAATAACTGTCCACTGCAGTGTACACTATATATGTCTGCGGTGTTTTGTGTATCCAAATGTGACAGATTGTGAAAACAAATCTCCCCATGGGACAATAAAGGCTATCTATCTATATGTGAAAGGGCTAGATAGGGTCATTCAAATTTCAGGTCAGCCACCATAGTTAGCTACCCTGGAAATCCAGTGTTCTCGCGAGAGCACAATTTGAATTTGCTCAGCGAGTCACTCTGGCATTCAGTAATGATGCTCATTACCAATGCCGTTGGAGCCGAGCTGCACCAATCACATCAGTGTATCTGATATAGGCGGGCCAGAGGTGAGCTAAACAGATGACGACAGCGCTGCGACAACGAAGTCCAGAATCAGTCAGTAAACATTGCAAGATGGCTACAGATGAGCACCAGTTGTTTGAAACGGCTTTGGCCGCTACAATGAACGAGTTAGACTTGGCTTTTTCTCTAAAAGAGGAACAGAAGACGGCGCTCGAATCTTTCCTTTGCAAGAAGGACGTTTTGCTGTTTTGCCGACCGGATACGGCAAGAGTCTAATCTACCAGTTAGCTCCGCTGGTAGCTAAGCTCTGGATACGTCACCCTGTGTATTGTTCTGATTGGTCGTAGTGTTATCCAATTGCGTGCAGTGATATTTTCAAATGAATGCTTGGTGCAGCCCCTCGAGTTGGACCATTTGCATTACTCATGGCCAGACCCTAAATCTTTCTAGATTTGGGTCTGGATTTCCAGGCTAATAGTTAGCAGTCTCTCTGCAGCCAGAGCGCACAAATAACACAGATTTTTGTTTTGTTTTAAACTGCTTTATTCAAATTTTTTCCACTGCTTTAAATTGTTTGTTTTGGACAGGAGGAGACCTCTGTGGACAACTCAGCTCCTGGTAAAAACCTCCCATAGAACAGGCAACTCCTCCAGAAGTGTATCAGGATCTGATGCCAGTTTTCACAGCGGCCAAACACTGGAACTTCTGAGTCCGTCACGTGATGCCCAAAACACTTTTCCCCATAGACTTACATTGGAAGAGAGATGTCTGTAAATCAGTAGATACATTTTTCTGAGAGTCAAAACCCCTGTGAAATGACTTGTTAAAATTTGATCCATATGGCCCATTGATGCGGAAGCAGTGCTGATCATCTGGGTAATTTTATCAGTAGTGTAATGTTTAGACCTGTGTCATTCAGATTCTCTGAGTGCAGGCGAGGCTCCACCTGTGACGCTGCTGATGAAAGGCAGAGTTGGCTTCCTGAAGGCTTTGTAGTGTATTGTGCCTTTACCATCTCTGGATGGCACAAAAATTGTCCACAAACAAGCACAACAGGTCTGAGTGAAGCAGGATGAAGTATAAGGAGCAGCAAACCCAGAATGTTATGACCTCATGAGGACGCGGGGTCTCAGGAGGCTAAAAGAGAATCTAAAGTGAGTCCAGCAGCCCTTCACTCAGCACTTCTAGATGTACGATGACCTGGATGCAGACACGTGCACAGAGACCTGAGGTGGTGCTCACGCTGCTCTAGACAAGTGCTCTTTGTGCAAGACATGTTTCTGCTTCTTTTAATACTTTTATATTTTAGTTTTTAAGGCATTAAAGTCGTGCCCTCAACTTCCCTTGAGCGTCATCCACATCTCCCTGACCTGCCTTCATCAACAGCCAGGTATCGACAGTGTTCACCCTAAACACCAGCATTGTTTGTCACTGATATGGAATTAAACCACTATTAAAATATCTCATACAGCCAGACTAATTTAGCAATAATCCACTGTTAAGCTTAACAACCAGTGAGATAGCCTGGTGTGAAAGCAGGCGCTGAATTGCTTTTCCACTTCCATGTGTCTTTTTAAGCTAAAACTCATTTTGAAATAATGTTTACGTGTCCTACACCTGATCTCTGATAATCAATTTGAACAAAAATGACATGCAGTTTGGGGCTGTGCTGTGTAGAGGGCGCAGAGGAGGAGAGGAGGAGTGAAGGGCTGCTTGTTGCTGTTCTCTGGGATCCTTAAACAATATTTACAGTTCATTTAGAAGATGATTATAACAATTAGTGTGTGACTATTTCAAAAAGAAAGGAGGGGAAGAGAATACGCTGAGAATGGGAGAGGAGTCAGAACAGAACATCGGCCTACATTTTAGTTTGTAGGTTACACTGGTTGGTTTATTATTCTGTTTAATCAGAGAACAGCATTTATCAGTTTTGTGATTGTGACGCATTATTTTATAGACCAATAAAGTGTGCACAATATGCTATTGTTTTCTTTGTTGCTGCCTGTTATCATTTTTTTCTTTTTGCACCAGCGGTTCAGCATGAAAAAATAAAAAACCAGAACCAGTTAGATTTGTTTGTATCATTTAAGATATCAACGTCAGTAACTGTAATTTAACAGGCCTTATTATTTCAGAGTAAAAGTGAAATGCTCCACACAGTCACCAAACACACGTAAAGCACTTCCTAAAACGTATTGTAATAACAAAGACATCTGTTTCCATATTAATTTCAGCTGCATATACAGAGCTTCATTCAGAACATCAACAACAGCTTTAATCTCTCTTCTTCTTTGTCTTCTACAGGTCGGTCGGCCAGTTGTTGTAGACGGACGGACACATGTACTGTTTCAGCAGCAGGTTCACCCTCTCCGTGTCTCCTCCCACACCGCTGCGGACAAAACACAGCAACAGTTAAACACTGCTGAAGAGGAAGAGGAAGAGGAAGAAGGTATTTCTATTATGTGTTTCTTATTTTTTATCTTAATCTTGTTGCCATGTGGTTAGATCAGCAAACTTTCATTTGGAAGCTGACCACTGGAAAAATGTTTAATATCAGTTCTGAAAAAGTGTTGTGAGCTCTCACAGACTGCACCTACACAGAAACAGCCCAGTCACAAGAAGACAGTGCTGACATTATACGTTTCTGCAAACAACTAACATGTTACATTTGTACGTTTCATATGTGTCATATCAAAGTTTCTAAAGTGACGTGTTGTATGAGCTGACTTTGTCATCAGGAAGTGGAGGTGATGGTGGGTGGCTTGTCACGTAGGCGAAACGCCTGCCAAGCTGCACACGATTAATCAACACCAACAAACAACAAAACCAGTTGTTTTTAGTGAGTCATTGCTGCAGTTGCAGCGGCTTCTTAGTCAGAAAACTTGTTTTAATTATTTACTTTTGGTGATCCAGTGCTGTTCTACCAGCGGGGTAAGTGCCATGAAAAGCAACTGTTTTTTACCTGGACATCGACGACTTCTCCAGCCATGACTGTGACACCAAAAGTGGGTTTTTTAAAGCCCACACAAGATCTTTTCTTAACCATAATTAAGAGTTTTTGGTGCCTAAACATAACCACATATTAACCACAGAGCCTAAATGCAGTCACTTTTAAGATAACAGTATTAGAATTGTTGCATCGTATGTTTAATTGCCCCTTCTTTACACTCTCACCAGTAGGGGTAGTTTTTGGATTTGGGAGGATGAATTGCAGCCAGACGAGTGGAGAGAGGAGCCACACAGTTTTTTTTTTTTACCTCTTTTCTCTTTTGTCTCCTCTCCCTTCTTTATTTCTCCTTTTTGAATAATTTTGGTTTTGGTACTGGACACTTGTTTCTGTACAGTTTTTTGTGTATTGAAGGAAACTGTTAAACTTTATCATGTGGTCCGGTGGATTTTTTTTTTGGTGTTAATCATGACAAAGGGGATGATAAGAGCGTTGAGGCTTCACTGATGGTAAAACTACATAAATAAAAATCCAAAGTTTCAACTTATCCACTACTTAATAATGTACAGATGTAACGTATCTGTGTGATTTGCCAACGTTTATTCTGGCGACTACGTTAAGAGAGAACCAGACCTTTATTTAAAACTTATATTCTCAGACATTTCTCCTGTTTTATAAATACATTTCATCACATCTTAGTAAGAAGCCTCCCTGTTTTCTGATCTGCTCCTGTTGTATTTGCTGTTGATGCAACTCAACACTTCCTCCACGTTTATTTTACGTCTTTATAGTTTAATGTACATTTTCACTGCATTCAGTCATGTCATGTCACCACTCTGCACTCACTCACTTTCTGTGCTGAACACTGACTATTTGAAATCAACTCTACTTGGCAGTTTTATCAGTCGTCTAACTTCAGCAGAGCAGCTCGAGGGCAGATTGTTGTTCTAAGGTATTACTGTTGTTTTAATGTGTCTGATGTGTCTGAGGTGTCACACCTCTTCCTGACGCCCTGCATGCGGTGCAGGAAGGCGCAGATGGAGCTGTGTTTGGCTTTAGATCTCAGGAACTCTGCGTATCTGTTGGAGAACTCAATGTCTCCCAGCTGCCTCCTGCGGTCCAGTCCTGCAGACAGCAGCTGCCTGAAACACAATCACATCAATAACCAAATCATTTTTGATGCACTTTCACACTTTGGATGGTTTTGTGGTTTTGACTTAACGTGTTTATGTTCGTTTTTTTTTTTTAATTATCACTACAGGACAATAAACGTCCCCTACTAGACTTGAACAAACCATGAACAGAATATTACATGAAATAAAGAGCTGCAACAATATGATCAGAATATTCTGTATGTAGCACTGAAAGATGGAGTAGATATACATTTATTCTTTGTAAGGCCTAGTCCACACGTACAGGGTTTTTCTTCACTTCCATTTTATAATTTATTTTTTAATCATCACCTGCTACCTGAATTTATGGTTTCCTTTACATAAAAAAGATATTTCTGCCATATATTAGTGCATAAAGTCACCAGAGTGCAGGAAATGAAGTGTTTGGGGACCCCCAGTCCTCCACTTAATTAATATGTGTTGAAATGGAACCCATGTCCTTTCATTTCAGACATTGTTATCATTTAAAAATATCAGTTC